GACACCACTTACTGATAACTATGAGAATCACGACCGGAAACAGTCGTGGTCCGATGCTGTTGATGAGGAATTCGAAGGGATGGATTTTTCTGCTCCTGTTATTTTCAACGACGATGAGGACTTGCTTCGGCTTGAAAAAGAGAAAGAAAACATTGAACAGAAAGACTTTAATTTAATAATGGCAAAGATTCAAGAAAAGAAGATCTCGAACATCCCACCGACGGTATTACGAATAGTAGCAATACAGAATCTGGTTTCGGTTCTGACGACGGTTCCACCAAGCGACAACCTCGTGATTATAGTTCAGCGTCTATGCGCATCCGAGACAAGGATCCTAACAAGGAGTCTTCTACAGTTTCTCAGGCAAAAGTCATTTACTGCAAACCTCGACCTTGGGGTGAGCAACGGACTCACGGACATCAGCATGAAGCAGCCAATGACTACTCTACCAGTCCCAATAGCCATTGGTCATCCTACCATCAATGACGAGAACGTCTGGAACAAAGACGCAAAGAAAAGTTCAACACGAGAAACATCCGGAAAAACATCGTGATTGGTGGGGTCAAGAGCGTCTATCTGGGTCTGGATTCACTAACTTTAAGCAATCTGGTCATGTCGATAATCAACCCTAATCAACCCTCCTGGCCAATTAACTCGTGCTAAGAGCATTTCTCGTTCTCCAAATAAGAAATCAGTTGTCAATACTGATGGCGCAACGGCCATGTTCGTCAGAAGGAATTACCTTTGGCCGCTCCGCTGAGATCCAGGGTTCTCCCCCCCCCCAATACACAGACTTTACCATACACAGACTCCAGTTCCTGAATCACATGAGAGTAAATACGACCGGATATGACATTAGTCGACCTCTTTTTAGTTCCCTTTCCGTCTATGTTTGGATATTCAAGGTGATGCACGTGGATCGCGATCAGATTCATACGAGTAATGACATCACTGCCGTCCGTGGTAATTTGAGCACTTGGTTCGAGGTTTTTGTAATGTGTTTTGGTACTTTGCTGAAACTTTTCCCAGATCACGCTGTAATATGTCTAAATTTTGGGATAAGAACATACATTAATCCCTTGGACACGATGGAATTACAACAGTAAAACCATCTACCAGCAACAGCCGACTTACACGGTAAGTTCTTTATCATTCTGTTACGGTGGTCCAGCTCTCCTATGTATTGTTCTTAATACTAGCCTGAATAGGCGCGCTGGTCTGAGTTGAAGATGTTGGTAAATTTGTCAGTTGACGTGGTACTGTTATGGTGAAAGAGGTCTGTCGTGTTAACGCTTTGATGTAATAAATAGGATCAAGGGAAGTTTTGAAGGTGGTTATATATGGAAGTATGGAGTTTAGTAAGTACGATCTTTATTACTTATCACTGGTTTGTTAGTGACATCCACTAACTACATAATCTGGTACTGTATTTCATAATACTAGAAACAGAGCTTAAGTGTGCTTATGAATAGTCCAGCAACATATTAATATCAATCAGACCACTGCTAACGGCGACAGTCTGCTGCCACAGGCAAACAACAAAGAGAACGTTACAACAAATTTGTTTTGTTGGTCCAGTACTTATTGCTGCCGCTACCACAAATTACGACTCTAAGCAGCCACATTCCCAGAGCGCTTCATCTATTCATAGTAATGTTGCGCGTGGACTTATTTGAAGAAAGATTTCTGGACTATTACGAAACCTGTCTATCAAAATTCTATAATTTACGTAACTACGAGAACAAGGCGATCGGAGATGAAAAATAGCTCCTACAATTTCTGACTCTTTAACGGGCGAACAGTAATGCATAATACTCGTATTAGAGATTGACTATCCCGAACACTGAAGTTTGACCTAAAGGTCTGTATTGACATCCAACCAACCCTGTCAGATGTGGATAAATAGACCAGCATCAAATGAACCTCTAACGAGTTAGAATTAGAGAGAATGGGATTGGAAGAAAAGAATTGAGCTCTGCCGGCACAATCATGTGTAGCTTGGCAATAGAAGTCGAGTGAACGGACACTATCCAGCTTTAGCAGGGGATTGGAACAGCAGAGATGAAATCAGCATCTGTATAGAGTATCACCTTCTAGACTTTCGGGTTGAAGATCCTTCTTAAAATGATATAAGGGGAAGGTTCATTGAATTTCCGTTTGACGAGTAGAAAATGGAGATGTAGAATGTTAGGCAATGCTGGAATGAAATAATTATTCACCCTGTACGTGTTCACCCGCGTGGCCATATAATGCTTATTCACGTGCCATTTTAAAAAAGATTTCAACACCAATAAGGATAATTCCCCGACGATTATTACAAAAAGCACGTCCAAAACGATGTTTGGGAGTATTTGAAGAGCATCGATGTTAGCTTTACTACTTTCTTGGTGACATCCACTACATACCAATATCATATCATGTAGAAATCAGAGAAAATGAATAATTTATATCTATTTTGCGACTCCAGTAATCTTTTCTTGCGTTCCGCTTGATGCGGTACTGTTCCCTCTTTTGAATGTTTTCCTCTTTTCGTTTTTGTGCGCTAAGCATAATTCTGCTGCATAGACTTGATCTCTTTGGGTATATGACGGTGTCTTTATATTGAGCGGAATATCCTTGATCGGCGACTTTTCGTATGCTGTAACCGCGTTTACAACCTCTTCATAGCATACACCGAGCGTATATTGTGTGACCGCGTAACCCTGATCGGCAGACTTTGAAGCAATTCGATCGCTTTTTGAAAGTTGGCTTCCTCGTCTACTTAAACCAAGACAATATGGCTCTTACGGCTGTCTCGCTTCCTTCGTCACTAGAGTCTGAGTTAGCAAACCTATATTAGCAATGATCTGTACGATGTACGTGCATAGCACAGTTCAAAGATTCTTTATAAAAATACCTTGCAATACGTCTGATCTCGGCAAATCTTTATATCGCGCTTTGAATTGTTCAGAATATTCCAGATAAGCCCGCGATCGATAACTTTTCTGTTTTCACACAACAACTATTCACCGCCCCTAGTTTCTTAGAGGCTTTAGCTTTCCATAACTTGACATTGCCGTCATCTGAGCTTGATAATACAACTTTAGAATCGACGCTATATTTGACACAGAATATTCTCTGCATTCTCTTGGTGTGGTAGACGTCTGGACTATGCGAGATTAGGATTGGAAATAACTGAAACATCCAAAATACGAATGAGACGATCGAAATGACGTACATAGTTGACACGTGATCTTCCATGCTACGTTCATTTTTCGAATGTGTGGTAAAGTTGAATGCTTCCATCGGATTCCATGAAATGGCATTCGTCTTCGTCTATGAATTTATAGCTACGTTAGACGAAAAATCGATTACAAAAGATACGAATATACAGACATATGACTTACTTTTAGCCCAGTTCGCAGGTCATATGATCGAACGATCATTACCGCAACCTGCTACTATACTCTTCTCAGTCTTGGTTGAATCGTATGTTTATTGTATCAGCACCCCATGAGAACGTGTTTATAGGCTGAGATCTAGGCAGAATGAATAAGAGAAGAGGGCGAAGCAATCAGTCAGTTTTATAGAACTAGTGATTAATGCCCTGAATACATTTTTGACACGACTCACCTCCATCACCACTCCCAGATATCAGTGAAGTAATTTTTTGTCATGCAATAGACGCCATCGTTGTGACCATTAAGAGCACCAACAAACGGTTTTGCAAACGCCCGTTCTAGCTTCACGGCATTCAGTGCGCGCGTGCATTCGCGAACTTTTTTTTCTTGCCAGCTGTATCCAATTATGCACAATTAAGTCGTCCCATGTCGTATATTCTATTTCGTACCGTGGGGGATTTTCGTTAGCCTTTGTTAGATTGAATGTACTGGTCGTGCGGGAGCGGTGGTATTATTAGGAGAAGATTGGGCGAAAATGTTTATGTTATTTCTTATTATTATCTCATGTTTCACAAGAAAGCCGGGTGACACTAGCAAGTTATGTATAAATAAAGCATTAGTATTAGTCATGTTCGCCAAATTTATTTTTCTTAAGGACTATTTTTCAAAAAAGCGGCAGCGCTATTAAAAAAGATGTCCGAGGGTCTGGTCGAGAATGCTCGTGAATTTGCCTGGAGACAACACTTCCGAAGAAAAAATGCGACATATCAGAAAGTATTTGGATTCAAGACGCGATAGAGAGAAATTAGATGGTCTAAAAAGATTAATTGCTGTAAGCTTTGATGTTTTTTCATCATGATTATCTGTTAGCGTTCTCTTAACTCATGGCTCTTCGACTTTACCATCGGCGTGATGTGTCAGAATTCTTCCCAGACGCGGTAAAGAATATAGCCTCAAACAATCTTGAAGTTCGAAAACTAGTCTATAAATATCTCCTTCGATACGCAGAATAAGAACTTGATCTTGCGTTGCTGTCAATAAACACTTTTCAAAAAGACCTCAACCCAATTATTCGAGCGATGGCGTTGAGAGTTATGAGTGGAATACGAGTACCTACGATCGGCCCAATCCTATTAAGAAATGCTATTCCGAAATGTTATAGGTAAGGTGAAATGAGGAGATGCATTATTTTACTTGAGATTTGCTTGTGTTGGAGCTAGAAATGGTTTATCTTAAGCTATTTTTAGTTTAGATCCTTCTCAGAAAGGTGCATTGGTTAAGATAATAACTACCATGCTTAACGACAAGTCTACATATACAATCGGAAGTGTGATAATGGCATTTAATGAAGTATGTCCAGAGAGACTGATTGATTCACCAGCATTATAGGAAACTATGTAGAATGTTAGTTGACGCTGAAGAATGGGGCAGATAGCAGTAATAGGTCTGTTGATAGATATGCAAGGTAAGCTGTTATTATTTAACGTTGATCTTGCTTTGTATGGCATTATTTCTAAAGTGGAGCTTAATCATGGTCAGAACGCAAATCCAAATCCTCAGGTAATGTTACTTGGGCATTATATCAAATAACGGGCTGTTTTAAAATTTTGTGTGCCGTAACGAAAGGCGTTAAAGAAAGCCGTGATCATATTGTAGGGAATTAAGCCTTCTATTAAGAAAAAGTCAAAAGCATTCTACTCAGATGAGAGCTCCGAGATTCATCCTCGTCATCTGCTGACAAGCTTCGTCCTTTGGAACACTGCTGTAAATATTAACTGTCTACTAGTTGTCAAATATGAAGGGCTATACGCTTATGGGTTAATACGAATATTGCATTCTATCAAAGGTGGTTCTATAGTGTCAAACTATTTTACTATCTTGCACCCAACAAGAAACATATAAAATGGGAAAGTCACTGGTCAAAACCACCCCGTTATTATCGGGAGATACAATACGTTGTTCTCAAGAAGATTATGATGATAGCGACTCAGCAGCCGGTGCGTATAAGTTGAACAAAGACTAACGAGAAAATATTATATATGACAAATGCTGTACTTATAATCATACCTTTTCTTTTATTTAGAATTTGTTTGAGTCCCATCTCCAGCAATTCGACTGACCCTGCCTTCATTCGTAACTTGAAATTATAATGACACTGATTGCGACTAAAAGTAATATTATATTTCTACTTGGAGAGTTTCAGGTTGTTGAATAGCTTCGTATTCATATGTGTTCTTATAAAACTTGTCAGACATTTATTGATCAATCCCACTCTTTTGCATTTAGGAATATGTGAAAGCCCGAACAAAGGTTTTGCTACTTCGGCAATTCAGGCCATTGGGCGGTGTGCAATAAGAATGAATGGCAGAGATGGCCGGGAGCTGTCTAAACAGATTGACGAAGGAGGAGATTTGATTTTGGCAAGGCCGAGAGTGGATGTTCGATAAAACCATAAGGACGATGATATGAGTTGTTCAAACGAAGAAGGAACGTTCATTAGTGGTTATCATATACAGGGACTTATGATAGGGGTCAATAATCAACCACGCCCACGACGCCTGCAGTCCCAACTCGACTGGTAGTTCTGCCGCTATGATGCCGTACCAGGCATTGGAAAGTATATGAAGGATGATTAATCATTGAATAACAGCTAAAGGAGGGACTAAGAAATGACTAACGGTATTATGTTAAGACGTACATTTGTAGTTGAAGACGAAGATCATATTAATATTTATGATAATGCCGATGCATTAGTAGGTGGTCGGTGGGGTCTTTCAGCAAGACAATGACCCTAAACATACGTCTAGGGATGTCCAAAATGATCTGAATACCCGTCTTCCACGCGTCCACTCGATGTCTTTGTGTGTTACAAAAAAAATTGGAATTTTTCTTTTCTAATATAAAAAGTATGACAGAATTAGGCAAGAAACAAATTTACTTACGGCAATTTAATGAGTTATCTTATTAAAATGTCTAATTTCAAAAATTCAAAACTCAAAAATTTTTGTTATTACTTGTATAAAACAACAAATATGTTCTTCATGTTGTTACAAACGAGTTTACTTAAAGTTACTTGATTAAATACCTTAATAAAAAATGTTTTTGTTATTTTTTTTACTTATAATTACTTTTTCGATATTTTTTTCCCAAGATTAATTTATAAATTAAGAAAGATTTTAATAAGATAATCTATTAACTGTCCTTAAGTAAATTTGTTCTCTATATTATACAAAGTATAATAATAACAAGACGCTCTCGCGGGCCGGTGAGTGAAGTATTGTGTCTCTTTCTCATATTGTAGAACACTAGAACCAAACTATATTCCATTTCAGATCTCGGTAATATCTGGGACATAATTAAGGACAAGGGCGTCG